GTGCCGTCGCCATATCCAGCTGCTCCCGTAACTCCAGCTCTGTCTCCCGGGCGTTTTCCTGCAGCTCGTCGTTCATCTCGTTCATGGCTTCCTGGCAAGGAGGAGGCAGCACGGGACGCGGTTACACCACAGCCGAGCAAGGGAGGGCAACTGGGCATTTTCGGAGCAGGGCAGAGGGGCACCCCGGGGTGCAAGGGGCATATTCTGCAGAGCAGAAGGGTGCACTGCTTGTGAGCGGCACCGAGTGCAATGCCTGTAGAGAGGTTCCCCAGTCGCCTCTGGCACCGCTGCCAGGCAGTTCCCAGTGCCTCGGGCAGCATCACTGCCAGGCAGGCGGCTGGACCAGCCCTCGCATCAGCCCAGCCGCACACCAGGCACGAAGGAAGCAGCAAAGCCCTCCAGCACCAGCCCTTACTCCAGAGGAGTCCGTCTTACCAGGTCCCCAACAGTCTCACGCAGCTCCCGGACCTTCTCCTCCAGGTCTAAGTTTCTCTCCGTCAGAGTCTCCACCATCTCTTCAGCACCCAAAGCAGCATCCACCTGCAAACACACACCACATCACGCTCCAACCTGGAGCTCAACAGACTGCAGCAAGCAGCTCAAAAGTCCTTTTATACCACCGTGGGATCACTCTGGCAAGCTGTGGGTCATGGCTGATAAATCTGTCTCCCCATCCTGGGGTGAGGGTTTGCCAGCCAGTGCATAAGCTCCCTCCTGATAGCAGAGAACAGCATCCCTCAGGAGAGCAAACAACTCAAACCAGAACAGCCAGCAGCCCCAGAAGGAAGGGCAGGTGAAAAAAGAGGCTTGGCTTTGGCTCTTAGAGATGTTACTGGCTTTTTAGCTGCATCAGGGCACAAGGTTGAACAGTTTCAGGTCAGTGTAAATGATGCTGACCTTCAGGTTGAGTCTTTGCAGACTTGTGACAGTGCTTTCCAAGCTCTCTGTCCACCCTGAGGACCTCGGCAAGTGGTTATATGCTTACAGTATTAATGGAGGAACGGGGATTTCAGTCTCTTTGCATTAAGAAGCGTAACCTCTGCTAACAGCCCACCTTCCACGTAACTCAGGCTAATGCTCAGAGAGCGCGAGGCCAGCGTCCCTCCAGAACGGCAGTTTGGAGGACTTGCACAGGCCGCTCTGCACTGAATGTAGATCCTTCCTGGGGGCTTCCTAAGGGCTGCCCCACACCTGCACCGACGTCTCAGCCTGGCCAGGAACAAGCCTCATGAAGATCACCCAGGCAGGAAGATGTGATGGATCAGCACTGAGCAAGCAGCAAACACAGATCAGCCCTGGAAAGCATGACGTACCATCCATGCCCTATGTTCAAGAGCCACCCTACGGCCAAGCAGAGTCCAGCACAGTTCCACTGCTGGAACAGGGTTTGCTTTTGCACAGGTATTAGTCCCTGCAGTGGTATCACCGAGCGTGGCTCTCCAAGAGTGACTGACAGAAAGCGCTCCGTGCCAGGAGGTGGCCCAAGCTTGCCTGACAGCAGTTGCTCAATGCCCTAAACGGCCCCAAACTTCCCCTCCTCGCCTATCCTTCCCCCAGTGGACTCACCTGCTCCTTTAGCTCATCAACCGTTTTCTCCGCCTGCTTCACCTCCTCCTGAAGCTTCTCCCTCTGCTGACGCAGGGACTCCAGCTCCGTGTTTTTCTTCTCCATTTGCTTCTGAAGCTTCACGTGTTCCTGCTTCTCTGATGCAGACAAGTCCCGCATCCTTTGAGAGAGCAACCAGACCCATCACAAGCCCAGCGGAGGCGCAGGTACCAGAGCAAGAGAAGCTGTTCCCTTCCCAGACACTGCTCTTGGTGGGCACCAGCAGAGCCAAGACCTCCTGCCCACGCTGGTGCTGGCTGCCCACCGGCAGCACGAGCAGAGCTCCTGTGGAGCCTCTGGAGCCCCTCCCTCGTGGGGACAACGAACAGCTCGTTAACAGCGAGGGATGGGGGTGAATCGGTGCCCGAGACGGCACCTTCCTTTGAAAGAATGAGAGCGATAGGGGATGGAGAGAACAGAAGAGGAGAATGTAGAAAAATAGACAACAGAGACAGGCAGGAAAGAATAGCTGTAAATGGGACAGGCTGAAACAGAGAAAGGAAGAACCCAGTGAGCGAAGAAAAATAAGTCACATTCACAGCCTTTCACAGTGTAAGAGAGAAGGTCAGCAGCAGAAAAAAGACAAAGCACAGACAAGGAAAGGCGCTTCGTCACGTGCTGAGAAGAGAGCTTTGCTTATGTGTCTACTGAGGCCCCTGTTAGCTCTGCCAACAGCCCCGAAGGGGCTCTGCCCAGGGAGGGCAAGTGCTGGGAGCTCCTCTCACTTGGACCTTCTTTATACCTCCCACCCCAAACATGCACTGGTTTGGAAGTCCTTGCAAGGCAGTCTCTTGTGTTTCCTATCAGGAGGGGATGCTTCCACCTCCCCTACCTGTTCCTGGCCTACAGCCAGCAATAATTGTCTTTAAGCACAGGCTGCTCTCTGCACCAAAGGCAACACAGCACCCTGCACACTGAACCACAGCCACCCGGGAGGAGCGAGGTGGGACAGCGAGCAGGGCTGTGGTTACCAGAGGGACCCCACCTGAACCTCTAGGCTAAAGCACATGTGGCTTCCAGAAAGAAAAGCCCCAAGCCCTGGCAGATGGGCTTGCCCAGGGAAAGGCAACAACCAGGTCCCAGCGCTGAGCGGGCTCAAGAAACCTCGAGCAGGACCTGTGCAGGAGGTGTCTGGAGAACTGTCCTGTACAGGCTGCTTGAATAAACCTGCAGTGTGCTGGAGAAGCAGAGCACTGCATACACAGAGGAAAGAAATACAGAAGCTTTCTGAAGCGGCTCATTTTCTCCCAATCTACATTGGTCTCCAGTGACAAGAGATTCTCCCTTCTCTTTTGCATGCTTAAGGAGCACCAGAGCTCAGAAGCAACCCAAGACCAGCTAGCAGGTGTTACATCAGCTGCTCTGGAAAAGAAGTATTTGGATCAGTGCTCTGACACAAACTGCTCTTAGACCGAGACAGCATGGGCTCTCGTAGGAAGGAACTTCATCCCAGCCTTTGGGGAGCACAAGTGGTCTCCTACCTTACAAGAGCTTCCTTGAGTCTCGCGTTTTGCTCTTCCAACTGTTTGACTTGGTAACTGGATGCTGCTCCATCCGAGCCTGCAGCAGAAAGGAAGCATTATTCTGCTTGTGCAGAAATAGCAGCTGCTGAACAGATCCAGTTCTCTTAACACTGCGACATTGCCAACACCAGTAAGAGGACAGCTAAGTCATACCAAGGGGAAACGCATCAGTCCCTCTCCTGCAGCTGAGCAAAACTGAAGCCTCGTGCTTAACATTGGCGCTCGTAGGCTGAGAGATTCCCCCGATGCCACCAAAGCCAGTTAGTGCGGATGAAGAACCACTGTACCAACCCACAGACTGTACCAGAGCAGCCGCTGGGCTACGGCAGAGCGACACATCGCTGGATATCGTGAGTGCTCTCAGCTCTCAACCCTTCTGGCCTCCACAATTCAGTGAAAGCAAACTCAAATCAAAGATGTTGCTCATCTCAGTAATTTCCACATCTCCCTGCAGACTACTCCTGTTCTCCCCGCATTTTTCCCAGTCCCTCGATCTGTCACATCCCTCAGCCTGCCTGCCTGATCATCTGCTGCTTCTACGGGTTTGATTTTGTTTTCAGGTGAATGCCAATACTACAAGTGTTTAATGGCTGGCTCGTTTCCTGCTGTGTGTAATTTTTAAAGCTCACCTTGAATAGCAAGAGCTAAAAGGCCCCGGGGGAATCAAAACAAGGATAATGTGCTGGTTTTGAAGCTGTGCTCAGCGCAATGCTGGGAGGTTGGATCAGTAAGCAACAAAAGCAGTTGTGTTACCTCCCACATAAAGTCTGCCCCAGTCAAACACCTTTTGGGGTGGGATCCACCATCCCCAGGGAAAATGACAAGCATTAAAACAAAGCCTGAGCTCCTCTAAGCTCAGGACAGGAACACTTGTTCCCAGACTCAGAAGTGCAGCAGCTCCATCTCTGCCTTCTCAGCGAGGCCGGGACCCAAGTGAAGACGAAGCTGAGCTGCTGCTGCTGACCTGCCCACGTGCGATGGTCCCACCCGTGCCTGCCGAGCAGGGCTGGGGACGCAGCAGAAAGCCCCAGCAGCTGTCGGGGGAAATCGCAGAGGCAAAGCCTCAGCCTCACCACAACCAGCAGCGAGGAGCCATCACTGCTCCGAAGCGGTCAAGCCTTCTGCTCCCCAGCGAGGAGCTCCCCTGTGCACTGGGACCCAGGCTGAGACCACCCGAAAGCTGACCCCTTCCCACCTTTCTCTTCGATCTCGTGCTTCAGGATCTCCAGGTCCATTGTGAGATATTCCACCTTCTCTTTCAGGGAGTCCACCTCCTGCTGCAGGGACTCTGCTCGCTCTTCTGCCATCTCCTTGTCCAGGGTTGCCATTTCAATCGCATCGGCGGTGTCTGCCATCTCCTCCATGTAGCGCTCCTTGGCTTCCAAGGCATCTTTGGCTTCCTGTGGTCAAGCACACATGAGTGAGAAGACCCTGGAAGCCAAAGGCCAACGATGGAGAGACCCCTCTCACAATGAGCCTCGGACAATTATGTCTCTCGTGGCTCTCCCAAAGGAGGATCAAGTCCAATTAACAGCAGCTTGTCTGGGCTGAGAGGGGAAGGCCCGCTGCCAGTGCTCCAGGGTGCCCGTCTCCACTCCCTGTGGCCTCTCCCCTGCTTCACACCTTCCCCCGTCCACAAAAGAGCCCAGCAGAAAAATGATCTGCAGGTGAGGAGAGACAAGTATGAAGACAGAAAATACATAGGCTTGTACTGGAGCAGATTAGCAAAGAAATCACTGGGGAAAGAAACCAAGAATCCACCCTGGAAAACCAGGGCAGAGAGAAGCAAAAGCCCTTTGCCAGCACGACTGGAGTCCTGCCGTCTGCCTGGGAGCAGCAGTGAGAAGAGCAGGTCACCCATCCTCGGGAGGGAAATGGCCAACCTGCCGCAGGCATTTCCAATGACCCCCAAAGGCAGGGCAAGAGCAGAGCTGCCACAGCAGAAATGTTCTCGACAATGAGCGACGTAAGATTCGTTAGCTCCAAAGCCCTGTGGCTTTCGCTGGCAGCGACTCATACCGACCAGCCCTGCAGGGCAGGAGCTCAAAGTGTGTTGGTTTAGCTAAAGGGAGATGAGTTTTAACAAATTAAAGTCTACATCAGAAAGTCAGGATCAGGACCACCCCAGGAAGCCACCGGAGAGAGGAACCACTCCAGAGCAGGCCAGGAAAGACATAGGCCGTGTATGGGGAAGGGAGCACACATGTACACCCCCATCACCGGAGCGGGGAGGACTCGCGTGCCCAGCACTCTCGGGGTGGGCTGGGACCCCTGCAGATCGTCTGCTCCAAGCCCTGCTCAGGCAGGGGCGGCTGAGCCGGCTGCCCAGGACCTGTCCGGTCCGGTCGTGTCTCACACATCCCCAGGGATGGAGACTCCAAACGCCTCTGAGCAACCTGCTCCAGTGTTTGATCACCTTCACAGGAAAAAGGTTTTTTTCTAGCGTTTAAACTGCATTTTCTGTATTTCCGTTTGTGCCCCTTTCTTCTACTCTCAGTGGGCACCACGGAGAAGAGTCTGGCTCCGTCTTCTTTACTTCCCCCATGAGATATTTATACACATCGATGAGACCCCTCACCCCCGCCCCAGCCTTCCCAGGTACCCGTCACGGCGTGCTGAGCTCAGACGAGGCTCCAGAGGACTGGATATGTAATCACTGCTTAAGAACAGCTCCTGAGATGTTCCAGCTTGCTTCAGCCCAGTTCCCAAATAGACTCAATGCTGATTATCAACTCAGTACAACACAGCAAAAGCTTGTATTATTGTAAAACGAAACCACGTTGGGATGTAACTGCTTTAAGCCATGAGTACTGTACAGGAACATACTGCTCACTTCCCGAGTATATTGCTTTAACATATCGTAGGAGCAAGCAAGAGGAAGGACAAGCTGCTGCTTCACAAACATTGGAGAGTCAAAGACAAGCACAGGGCAAAAAAAAAGCTTCCACCACGTAGGTGTGGCAGTTTTAAAAATCATTCAAGACATCCAGGCATTGGGACAGCGGGAAAGCTTAGGCTGCATGGTCAGCTTTGGGAGAGATGAACAGATCCCACGGCATCACCAGTGAGCCTCTTCCTACGGGGCTGGCTCTCCCAGCTGGATCGGAAACCTCAATACACAGCAATGCTCTTAAAGCTGCTGGAGTCCACTCATTTTTGAAGTCAGCTGCAAGATCTCCAGGAGCTTTACTTAAGCTTTTGAAGGTGGAACTGGTAGTTTATCAGCAGGTTTGGAATTTGAATGGTGCCCCTCCCACAGCGCTGGCAGACCTGCAACCGCAGATTAAACCGGAGAAACGCGGCTGCTGCCACACTCAGACACTCATCCTGCAAGTTGAGATGTGCGACTTGCTCCTCAACTATGGCACTCTTCATCCCCATCCATTAAATGAAACCACCTCTAACGTCAGCTTATCTTACCCTGCACGAGACAAAGTTGCACCGACAGAGGAATCGACTCATGGATAGATCAGACGTTGCTGCCCCGAAGGCCAGGCTGTCTGACAGATGGGGCAGGCAGGCAGCAAAAAGCAAAGCAAACCCTGGGATGCACAAAATCTCTGGTCCCTTGGCAGGACTGTGCAAAGTCCACCCAAAGGCTCCGTCTGCTCTGGCGTCCAGTGTGGTCAGAGGATGAAGCTGTGACCAGCTCCAGGACAAGCTGCATGTGCTACTGTCATGACGGACCAGAGCCACGCTCGTATGCTGCATTAAACATGCAGCATAGCCTGACTGCATCTGGGATTTGCACTGGTCAATATTTACGTTGGAGAGAACAGCGATATGTGAGGTCAGAGGCCATTTTAGGACCTGGCATGTATTCAGAAGACAGGAGTCGGGACAGCACACAGTTTAATGCTAGCTGATATTTCATAAAAAACCCCTCACACATTTTCAGCAATTGAATTAGCCCTGGAATCACGTCTCCCTGTGCAAGCCCCAGGACTGGAGCTGCCCAGCTCCCCAGGGACACTCACCTTTTTGGCCTCCTTTAAACGTTTCTGGAGATCAGCCTGTTGTTCTTGCATTTTGCTCTTCCATTCTTGCACCTGCTCCAGCTGGATCTTGTACTTCTCGAGCTCTTTAAGCTTTGCTTTGTCTTCATTTCGCTTTATCTTCAGAGTCTCCAATTTCTCCTCCAGGTCCCTGACTTGAGAACGCAAATTTTCCTCCTCCTACAACATCAAACCAAGAATTACCAGAAGGAGCAGCAGCATCCTTTGGAGAGAGCTCCAGATACATTAATTTAACCCACACAGAACCTGACCCATCAGCTAGCCTGTATTTTGGCATCATTACTGGGGCAGTTTTAGAAGAATTCTGTAGCTTGTCGCTACAGAGTCTGTCTCTCATTTTAACCTGATGATTTTTACTACGCATACAACGTGTGATAAATGTTTCTTGACACACTGACAAAAACCTTTTGGCTGGTAAAAGGTCCTGAGCACCTTGCTTTTGACTTCACTGGGATCTATGGATGCCTAAATCCCTTAAAAACAGAACCACCACTAACACGTCCAAATTCACCCCTCCGCAACTCTTCTCCTGCCCCGAGGGTCAGAGCAGAGCAATGGCATGCAAGAGACACGTTTTCGTAAACAGAACCAGATCTTACGGAAAGGCTCTATCAAAACAACGTGCAGGATGGTACAGACTCACAGCGGCCAGCGGTCTTAGTTATTAGCGTGTAACTCAGAAACATGCCGACACACACACACGTGGGGTGCGCCTCAAACTGTGCATTCATGCCGCGACTTTGCTGCGCTCTGGGCGAGCTGCTCCCCTTTCGTCCTCCCCCAAAACCCACCCTACAGAGCTCGTCTGTACGGGGGGTCTCCCCCACGCTCCCTACCCGGGGGGTCGGTGTGCGTTGTAACCCACGGCGTGTCAGACCCGCGGCAGCTCTACGAGGGCGAGCCGGGTACAAGCCTAAATCCCGGGAATCCTCCTGCCTCGGCAGACTGAATCCTAAAACGGTCTCTGCTGTGCACCCCAGATCAGCTCGCACGGGCGGACCAAGACCTTCTCCGAGGCTTTTCTAGCCCGTTATCCGCACAGAGGCGGGTGCCTCGGGCCATTCCGCAGCACCGCTGGCTGACCAGCGTCCCTCTGAATTCACCCCCTTCTGCTCTGAGTGCATTTGGGCTGCGTTAGTTTGGGCTTCATCGTGAAACCAGCTTTACCTGTAGTAAAAGGTACAGCTTGAGGAGGACACTAACGCAATGGTCCAGGGAAGGCTGCACAGCGACACAGCACTGCAGCTGGGTCCTGCAGCGTTACCTTGAGACCAAAGCCAACGGTGGCCAAAATGAAAGCCGACGCATGGAAAAGGGACACAGGCTTGAGATTTCCAACAAGATGCAACGGCAGCCCCCTCGGGGGTCACATCCCCACCAGCTGGCACAAACCTTCTATGCTCCAAGGGGAAAGGCACACCTGGCTCGCCTTAAAACACAGGCAAGGCTGGCACCATGTTCTAAACAGCTATGCTGTAACTGGAGAACTGCCCGCGCAGGAGGGGAAACACCACCCAAGCAGCACAAAGCCGTAAAGGTATTGCACAGCCACGCGGGAGCTGTTACTGGAGAGTGAGTTAGGTCGAGGCAAAACCCTCGGCTCCCCGTTACGGAGGTGACGGGGCGATTTCCACATGCACGTTCATCAAACCAGAGCCTCGGGGCAGCGGTCACCTGGCCTTCACGGAGACACTGAGACGCTGCCGAGCTGTTCTGGAGACAGAGAACACCTTCAGTTACACTGGCCTGTCTTGAACACAAATCATACATCTAAAGTACACCAGTGTTTTACAGAATGGGAGAATAATGAGGTTGGGAGAGGTGAGTGGAGGTCTCTGCTCCACCTTCCTGCTGTGCTGAGTAGAGCAGGGGCCTCGTCCAGCCAAGCTTTGGCTGTCTCCAAGGACGAGGTCCCGCAGCCCCTCTAGACCCATCCTGGTGTTTGACCACCCTCACCCTGAGAACTCTTCCCTAACAGCAGCCAGAAAGTCCTGTGCTGCCACTCGTGCCTGTCGCCCCGTTCCCCATCACCGCGCCCCTTTGAGGAAAGCCCGGTGTCCGTGCCGTTTAAAGAAAACCCCAGTTCCACCTGAGGTCCCATCCTTTTTTAATTCTGTAAATAAGCATCAGTGCTGTGCCACAGGTCCCAAGCTCCCCGCGGTACCTGGACTTTACAGACGCATTCCCCTCGCTTGCAGCCTGCGCAGCTGCCGCGAGAGCCCCTGCAAAGAGCAGGGCAGCTGCCCGAAGCCAGGGTGACTCAGTCCTTAGGTGGCACAAAAAAACCCCCCAGAGATGGCCCTGTGCTCTTCACCAGTGCCCGCTCGACCCCACAGCAGTGCCCACGTAATCCCCCGGTGAGCTCCCACCAGGGAAAACTGATCCTCTATTTGCCGGTTCTTTTTCGGCCAGATCAGCTCCCACGGCCAGAGAAACGCGGATGCCAGCGCAGCACCCGGGCAAACGGCTGCGAGCAAGGGCAAGGAGAAGGGGAGGCGACCCCCCTCTTCTGGCAGCAGCACAGGTTAAAGCAGCCTCATGACTAAAGCTTAAAATCACAAAGCTAGGTGACATTAAGGAACAGAT